CATCTTACATTTGAAATTTAAAAGTACATGAACTTCCATTTTTAAGTCAAGAGTCTTTTTCTTGTCCAGCCGGCCTGACGGGAACCGCCATCCGGCCGAGAGCATTTCAGGCACTTCTCGATGGAATTTTTTGATGAAATATTTTGAGCATGTTCTTCATGAAGTCTAGTTTTTATCCATACCAAATTTCAGCTCAAAATTCGATCGGGAAGGCATTCAAATAATTTTTTGAAGTTAACTGGGCAGTTTATATGTATGAACTGCCCAGTTAAGTTCAAGAAATTATTTGAATGCCTTCCCGATTGAATTTTTAGCTGAAATTTGGTATGGATAAACTAGACTTCATGAAGAACATGCTCAAAAAAATTTATCAAAAAATTCCACCAAGAACTGCCCGAAATGCCCTCGGCCGGACGGCGGTTCCCGTCAGGCCGGCTGGACATGAAAAGTCCTCTTTAAGTCAATTAGGTACATCTTATATGTGAACGTTAAAGTTGATGATGTGGCTAACACCTTCTCCTCGTGTGTCACTTATGTGTTTAATTAGGGTCCAAATCAGCTCATGTCTATTGTTTTATTTTTCATTTAATTTTCGCTAAAACCCTAAACCCAAAGCATTGAATGTAGAGTACGCCAAATATGGTTTTCTTAACTAAATGTTGAAAGTTAGGCTCCATTCATCACCAATCACACGGAGTTTGGTTGAGAAACGGCAATAGCAAATCTCTACAAATGGAGACGGATGACTATAAGGAAAGGCATATTTCTAGGGTTTGCTCCATGATGGTTGTTTATAATTTATTTTGTGAGGTTTAAAGTATAACAGTTGTGGATTAGGTGTTGGTTTGTTGTGGATTTTGGATAATGTTAATGTTACATCTGAAAGTGTCTGCTGAAAACTCAAAACTCCATTATTGACTGAAATTACATATACGGTCTGTAGCATATAGATTTTCCATATATTTATGTAGTTTGTTTGACTAAATTATTGACTAAAAAGAAAATGGAACATGTAGAGGTAAAAATGAATTTACCGATTAATAATATTAGGAACTTATAGATTATCCAAATATTTATGTAATTTATTTTTGTATTACATAATTATCTTTGTTGTTTCTAAAATTACTATTTTAAATGCTCCAGAGGTGTGGAATGAGAATTTGCGCCACTAAAATGATTCAAATATTGAACTTATGAAGAAGCCTTTTAATGGTTGATTTGGGATTTGGAGATTTTGCTATTGATGCAGAAGCTGGCTTGTATTTGAAGATGAATTCAACTCCGTCAATGAAGATGATGAGGAGTTGCATCGTGGTAGAGAGTGTTGTTAAGGAAACTTGTTACAAATGATAGAGATGCTCATCAAAGTAAAGATGACAGCAGAGATAAGGACCACATATTTGAGGAGATCTTGTCTTTTGAGGGTGATAGTTGGGAATCTGATCATTTTGGTTCAAGTGAAGAAGGAAGCTACAAAACTTGTTAGGATGAAGAAGAAGAAACATTTTTGAAAACCAGATTTCCACCTTTTAGACCGAACGACAAGGTTAACTTTACATTAGGTGTGAGCTTTGAGTCTAAAGCTGAAGTGAAAGAGGCAATGAATAAGTATTTTGTGAGTAATCGGTACTCTCATTATTGGGCTAAAAATTGTTCTCACATGCTTATGGCTAAGTGTGCTCATCTGGATGAGAAGTGTACATGGATAACATACATTGGCATTGATAAGAGATGCAATAGTAAGAAGTCAGTGTTAAAGACTTTCCATGCAATGAGCAACACATATGCAATCCCGGTTGAAAGATACCCACTGCCACATCGAGGTGGCTACTTCACAACTTCTTTGTATCTAAGGCTGGAATTTCTTAGATGAAAGTGTCTGCAATGCAAGAGATGGTTAAGAATGAATTAAACAGTGATGTGTCATTAGAGCATATGAGAAATGCAAAGTCAATATTTAGAAAAATGGAAAAAGGAGACCTTGAAACATGACACAAAAATTTAGAAGATAATAAGGCAAACATATTAAGGTCCAATGAATGGAATACTGTATCTTACAAGTAAAGCAACCAAGTTCGAAGTTTGATAGATTTTATATGAATCATATGATGCATGCAAGAAGGAATTTCTAGAAGGTTGCAGAAGACTGATTGGGATTGATGATGCTTTTCTAAGTCCGATGTGAAGGGTGAGATTTTAACTGTTGTGGACAGAGATGCCAACATTCAGATGTTCGCCATTGCATGGGCAGTGGTGGGTTCCGAGACAAAGTCTGCTTAGAAGTGGTTTCTTGAGATTATACGAGATGACATAAAAATTAGTAGGGGCAAAGGATTGGCATTCGTTTCTGATCAACAGAAGGTGATTAACTTTTAATTTAAATATTTTTTCAATCATGTATAACCACGCGTTTTCTAATCAATAACTGTTTTCATGTTGTAGGGATCTATGTCTGCATTGTATGAGACCATGCCTGATGTTTAACATAGAAGATGCGCAAGACATATTTATGCATTATGGAGGAGCTATCACCGAGGCATTGAATTGCAAAGAATATTTTGGAAATGTTGCAAATCAGCATCGAAGAGAGAGTTTGAACGGGGAAATGGAGGTACTGAAATCTTTATCTCATAGCAGCCATGAAGACATGAAAAGGAAAAGGATGGAGGTCACTTTGGTTATGTCGATCCGCAAGGACATAACCACCATTATGAGGAAGTATGTTATAATTTCTGTTAATTACCAAAGGCCCACAACAGACATGAAAAGGAAAAGGATGGAGGTCACTTTGGTTATGTCGGGCCGCAAGGACATAACCACCATTCTGATGAAGACCCACCACCCTCCAAATCAAAGGACCATTTCTACTGGCTTATGTCGAGCTTTTTTGTTAGGTCAATCAAATGTGAGGCAATATATTACAATTTCTGTGAATCTTTCAATGGAGTTATAGTCCCTGCGAGGTTTCAGGTGGGGTACTCCCAACTTGAATTTATTAGGAAGTTCGTGATGAAGAGACTAGTCGAGAATAAGGATTTAGGGGATAAATGGATTGGAATGTTAAGTCCTAGAACTAGAAGGAAGATAAGCAAAAATGTAACTGCGAGCTACAATCGGAGAGTCCAGTTTAATAGATATAATGGAGTAACGGTTATGAAGTGTCACGTGGATGAGACATATATCTTGTAGACCTAGCCAATAAGAGTTGTTTATGTGAGCAGTGGGATGTCTATAGTATTCCGTGTAAGCACTCCATATGTGCGGTGGCGTATCCAGGAATTATTGTTGTTGTTGTTGTTGTTGGGGGGGTCATACTACTCTTTCCATCCTATAAGATTCTTCTTACTTATCTTTTCGGGTGTTCCTCACAAATCTTCTCATTTCTCTATGGAAAGTCATGTGTGACTAACATTCATTTAGTTTTTTCTTATTCAACCACAATAATACGTTTACTATTAGCTACCAGACAAATGCTATTATGAAACACAGTCGTTGACATTTTTAGACTTTCACTTTTGATGACAAAATCAAAGTAAAGGACTGAAAATGTCAACTTCATAAAACTTAGAAAATGAAATGTCAGGAATTCTAAAATCGGAGATCAAAAGTTTAACACTCACAAAATATTGACTAATTTGTCACTAGGACATTTTTTCTTTACCAACATGTCTCAAGTTTTTTTTTTATCAATTTGTCAAACCACTATCTATGTGTTTACCAATTTGATAATTTGGCCCTTGTTCTTATAAGGAGTGGTGTTTGGATCTGATTCTTAAAATTGCGTTTGCTCCTTCAGAGAGCAGAATCAGAAGTTGAAGTGTTTAGATGAAAGAGCAAAAGTGATTTTGATGCTTTAATTTACTTTTGGGAAAACTGTCAAATAGGTCCTCGAACTTTCATAAAAAAGTCAATTAAGTCCTTCTATAGGAGACTCTGTCCGGTCGTTGCGATTTGGGGCGGTTCCCGAGGGAATTTTTTGATGAAATTTTTTGAGCATCTTATTCATCAAGTCTAGTTTACTCATACCAAATTTCAGCTAAAAATTTAATCGGGAGCGCATTCAAATTAATTCGAGAACGCAAAAATGCGCAGTTATCTTCAAGAATTAGTTTGAATGTCTTCCCGATTGAATTTTGAGCTGAAATTTGGTACGAGTAAACTAGACTTGATGAATAAGATGCTCAAAAAATTTCATCAAAAAATTCCACCGGTAACTGCCCCAAATTGAGACGGCCGGACAGAACCTCCTATAGAAGGACTTAATTGACCTTTTTATGAAAGTTCGAGGACATATTTGACTGTTTTCCCTTTACTTTTAGAATCTGTTTTTCAGAAAGTGGATTGACCAGCTTTTGAAAACTGATCATCCTAATTCTAGTTTTGAAAAAGAAACAGAATCAGTTCCAATTATAATCAGAAACATCAACAACTACTATCGTATTAGTTTTCAACCTTGCTATAGGTACCCCCAATTTGTACCCCAACCTATTTTTGTGGCCCACATAAATAAATGAATTGCCCCACTTTAATGAGATGCTTTTGTGAGCCACTAAAATAGGGTGGGGTACAAATTGGGGTACCAATTGGGGTACCTTTAGCATTTTTCATTAGTTTTTAATCTGTTGTTTTTAGTTTTTTTTACACCACCTGGTCCCTAATCCAGGATTTCGCGGTTTCCCTTCTCCACTGGCTGCGCCCTTTGCTTGTTTGTTGTTTCCGTCCTCAACACCACAATCATAGACGCCATGAATGCCTCAACTATCAAGCTCGATTCACCAGCAATCTCCCGGGCGGCAGTTTATTCACCACATCGGTGTGTGGCTCGCAAATGTAGGGTTCAGCTCATGAAGATGGCCGCCCCTGCTTCTTCTTCCATTACGTGCTCGGCCAAGCCAGGGTCAGCTGTGGTGGAACATGGTGGTGAAACCGAGTCCAGAACGAGTCGAATTGAGTCTCTAAGTCAGGTCTCGGGCGTCCTGGGTTGCCAGTGGGGCGATGAAGGCAAAGGCAAACTCGTTGACGTTTTAGCTAAGCATTTTGACGTCGTTGCTCGTTGTCAGGTATGTAGTTGCTACATCCGTGTGCGCGTAATATATTCCTGTTTGGTGCCTTATGTGAAGCAATTTTTGAATATTTTATAGCTCGTGTCTTGCTGGTTTTCTCTCCTGTGCCTTTAAAGCGCGTGGTAAAGGGAAAATATATGAAATCAAGTTGCTTATAGTTCATGCCCTCTAAGCAGTGGATGATCTAGGGGCTTGGAGCACGGGACAGGCAACAACTTACAGCAAAAACAACAATATCCATGCCTTATCCCGATAAGAGTGTAGGGATGCTATTAGGCACCTGATTAGGATTATGAAAGATAGAATTAGTACATAAGTGATCGATGGTTGTGCGCTTTTTATCAGGTGATATTGAAACTGGGTGAAGCTACTATGCCTATCTAGTAATGAACTACTATAGGATTTTTTTTACTCCATCTGTCTCAAAATGAAATTCCAATTTCCGTTTAGTATGCTTCACTTACAGTGAAATAAACTCTTCTCTTAAACGGTGTAATATTAAAACTTATATAAATAAGTAAAATTTACATAATTAAGAATCTACACTAAGCAATATTGAATCGCAAAAATTGAAGATTAAAATGGGTTGCGTTAATGGCAGGAATTGGGGATCAGGAGCTCATTTTTAAGGTGGTATTACCGTATTATTATATTTCAAGGCTTCAAGCTACTATGAACAAAATTTAGTGTTAACGTGAAGGGTTGGATATAGTCTCCACTCTTCACCACAATTTGGGCCTTTGGTTTTTATAAACCAAAACATAACTGAAATTCTAGTCTGGATCTAAAACTAGTTGTGGGGTGGTCCAGTTGTAGTTAATGTATACATGGACCAAAATATGATCGTTCTGGTTTAAATTCAGTTTTTCTAATAAAAAGCCCAATATTACTATTCTAAACCTTCCAAAACGGGGTTGGGAACCAAATCCTAAACCTGCAACTCTCCAGGACTAGAACTGACATCGGTTAATCTGGTTCTGATTCAGCTTATTAAGTTGGGTACCTAAACTTGAGGTTTTTCCTTAAATGTTACTAATAAAAAAAAGTCAAGGACAAAAATGTGACTTGGTGACTTTTAGTGACTATAATTGTGCTCAAAGTTTACATCATAGTCACTACATCATAGCAACTTTGAACACAATGATAGTCACTAAAAGTTACCAAGTCTCATTTTTGTCTATTACTTTTCTGGGAGTAATATTAGTGGAATTTCCCCCCTAAACCAAGAACCAGAGTACCAGACCTGACCCAGCCCATGTCAATCCCTACCCGCATGCTCTACCTTAAAAAATCTGGGCCCATCACTCATAGCGAGGAGTTTAGTTGCACTTAGATAGCCCCTCTTTGGCTTATCATCTGTAGCCTTTGTTTCACAAATACGGAGTGTTAGTTTATTTGAATTCGACTGCAGAAATTGGTAACTAATGAAAAAGAACAGCAGGGATCATTTTTTTCCAAAGGTGATCATTTTTGCATTTTTATTCATATATACTCTCTCTGATTTATCAATGATTTTTTTCACCATTGTACAATTTCAGCTACTTTATGTCTTTATCAAAATCAGACCCAGTTTATGAAGTTTAACAATTTCAATCAGATTACCCAGAGATCAGAAATGGTTGATTTTGCTGAATATTTTGAAAGAGATAGTGTCGTGTAACATCCACATCATGTCACCCAAATAAGCCAAGAGCTCATATTCTACTTTTTTTTGCTGATGAGCATAATAGACCAAATAAAAATATCAAACGGAGCACATATATTATATTACTCTCTCCAGTAATTTACTAAGGGGAAATCGCACTTTTAGTCCCTGAAACAGCCACCATATTGAAATGATAGACCCATGTTCCCCAGCTTGTAAATGTTACCCCTCAATTGTCCAAATTACTGTAAATGTGATCCTTTGAGGGTGAAATGTACAATGTGGGCAAGAAGTACATTTCGCCCCTCAAAGGGCCACATTTGCAACAATTTGGACAATTGAGAGGTGACATTTACAATCTCAGAAATACGAGTCTGACATTTCAATATGGTGACTATTTGAAGGAATAAAATTGCGATTTTCCCATTTACTAATTCTGCTGTCACAGTTCTCCTCGAGAACGTGGTTCTTTGTTTGGCAAAGCATTATCTGTCATGTCATATCTTCATACTGCTATAATTAATCCGCTTTCAGGGCGGTGCTAATGCTGGGCACACCATTTATAATTCAGAGGGAAAGAAGTTCGCACTCCACTTGGTACCTTCAGGGATTCTTAATGAGGAAACAGTTTGTGTTATTGGCAATGGAGTTGTGGTGCATCTTCCTAAGCTTTTTGAGGAAATCGATGGCCTTGAATCCAATGGAGTGTCATGTCAAAGAAGGATACTGGTGTCTGATCGAGCTCATCTTTTATTTGATTTTCATCAACAAGTTGATAAGCTTCGTGAAGTTGAACTAGCTAAATCTTTTATTGGCACCACATGGAGAGGAATTGGGCCTTGTTATTCAAGTAAGGTGATCAGAAATGGGATCAGAGTGTGTGATTTGAGGCACATGGACACTTTTCCCCAAAAGCTTGATCTATTACTATCAGATGCAGCATCAAGGTTTCCCGGTTTTGACTATAGTCCCGACATGCTCAAGAAGGAAGTGGAGGAGTACAAAAGATTCGCTGAGAGGTTGGAGCCCTTCATAACTGATACCGTTCATTTCATGGGTGAAACTATATCTCAGAACAAGAAGGTTTTGGTGGAAGGTGGTCAGGCTACTATGTTGGACATAGATTTTGGAACATATCCCTTTGTGACTTCTTCAAGTCCATCTGCTGGTGGAATCTGCACAGGTTTAGGCATTGCTCCTCGACATGTTGGTGATCTTATAGGAGTGGTGAGTGAAATTTGCTAATTGATACCTAATTCTATAATTTCTATTCTACAATTTTCCATTTTGTCTTCAATCATAAAGCCATCCGCTTTCTGGTTCCTGATTGTGACCTTTTCCACTTTCAGTGCGCGAAAATTGATTTTTTACCACTTTTAGTCCTCAAGTTTCTTATCTAGTGAAAATCAACCGGAAATGTAGGTAAATTTGCAGGATGAGTGTTCAGAGGAGCAAATGTGCCAAGAAATCCTTAGTTGTGCACCTGAAGTGGAAAGACGATCATAAAAGATCAAAAATGGGAATGACCTAATAGTAGTGAGACCAGAAATAAAAACTTTTTTCCTATGATACATTAGTATATCTAAATGAATCAAGATACTATTCTCTTCATGTCCAAACATGATTGAGACTCATTTTCATTTGTGTCAGACATGATAATGTCATGTAAATCATCATATTGAATTTAAATACTTGTTGATTATAAGCATTTATAATATGGGGTACACTTTCTAAGAAACTTGAATTATGAATTAATCAACTTGTGACTTCGTCTTGATGACAGCTCTTGCAGTTTTCTTATTTGTTATCTATTAATCAATTGTGAATGTTGATGAAATGTGATATTTTCAGGTTAAAGCGTACACCACAAGGGTTGGTTCAGGTCCCTTCCCAACAGAAACCTTTGGCAACAGCGGTGACATGCTTCGGTTTGTTGGGCAGGAATTTGGAACAACAACTGGCCGCCCTCGTCGCTGTGGCTGGCTTGACATAGTTGCATTGAAATACTGCTGCCAGATCAACGGCTTTTCGTCTCTGAACCTTACAAAACTTGACGTCTTGTCGGATTTATCGGAAATTCAGATTGGTGTTTCTTACAAACTTCCTGATGGTACACCAATAACATCATTCCCTTCAGATCTTAGAATCCTTGACCAAGTTACGGTAAGTATATTATCTTTATTTGTTTCTATTGTTTTATTAGTATCCTTTTCATTGCGCTTCTTGTTTCCAATTCGCCTGGACTGCGTTATCTCAATCTGGAGATTTTCATCATTAAGATATACAGTTCTGGATGAGAAGGTTGCATCATAATTAGTAAAACGATGCAAAACTGTATACTTTGTTGTTATCTCTGCATTTAATTCTCTTACTTGCTCTTCTTGTCAGTCTGCTTTAGATTGTAATCTACATGCTTCCCTTTTTGTTGTACTCTAAAATTTCACGCACTTCCTTTTAAGAAAGCATTTTGTGGTTCACATTTCTTCTCTATTCTCTAAATAAATTCCGACCGCGCTTTTCTCTTAATCTCTGTGCCAGGACAACTTGCATGTCTACTTAGGGACAATGGGAGTAATACTTTCCGATTATTACTTAGATTTTGAGTTTCTGGGTCCTCCATTCACTACATGCCTTCAGATTAAGTTTGTGTTCGCGGGAGCAGTGGAAAACCCGTGGTTTTGATGAGCGTTGACAATTTTTTTAGAGATTTGAAGTCGTTACACATGATATTAATGTAAATGAATAAAATGGTAAACTAAGTGTAGAATCCACCAAGAACATTTTAGCCAGTTCTAAAGATGTGCAATTAATACAAACATCAAACTAACCCTTTGTTCAACCGCTCTTTTTCTTATCATGCAACTTTAAATGGAGTTGACTACTCAAATGAATGCTAACACAATCAGTTAACTCAATTTGTTGCAAGTTATATGTAAAAATAAAATAATGGGAGATAATCTTAGCTAAGAAGAAGACTTTGATCCTTAATTCTCAACTTGTACATTCTAAATGATGATAACAACATGGTGATATGGCTAGGGTTATAGGACTCTAAGATAGAGAGTGAAGTATTTAGAGAATTTCTAAGTGATAGAAAGTTCTAGTCAAAAGTGTTTATCCACGCCAAAAATGGAAGTTGGGTCGCATGTGATGCCCTTGCATGGTGGTGGTCGTAACTGCCTAACTGGCCATCAGTACAGCCAGAGCCGTCTAATAAATTTGGAGACCCCGGTTCAAAATGAAGAATTGAGGCCCCCTAAAGCAAGAAAATATACAAAATTTAACTTTACAATATGCATAGACTAGAGTATTCGGTGTTTTATAATGTTTCAAGTACACAAACCAGACAATCTAAAAGTTATAGACTTTTTGAAATCTGAAACAGTACATAATATTCAAAAAAAATTAACCTAATCAACTTCTAACTACTAGTACCTACTAAATTTTTGGGAGGCCCCTATAAAAGTGGGCCCCAGTGCGAAGCACCTATTGCACCTCCTAAAAGACGGCCTTGAGTACAGCTATGGTTTGTACAGAAATCCATAGTGGCCTGTTGTGGCGGTGGTCTTATGTGGGGGTTGCCCTTGTGGTTGTGTGTGGCCCAAAATGACAGCCTGGCCGGCGGATGTGCCTGGGGTCATCCTCCATTTGCCCAAGAATGCCCTAATCCTCCTAAAGTATGTATTGCTAATTTGCTGTTCTGGTTTAACATGAAGTCTCTCAACACTCTAGCATAAAATTAACCACAATTAGCCCAAAAAAGCACTCAAAAATCACCTGGAGACGAACAAAGTGGTTTAGTAGGTGTGTTTCACATGTTTAAGTAAGTGTGGTTTAGGTGATAGATGTGAATTATGTTTGGTCATACTACCTCAACATGGTTTCATATATACATGTGTGTTGTCCATTAGCTTTATATATTTATACATATTTGTTTGAATAATTGAACTAGAATACAAATGAATGAAAATTTGAGAAAATAACAAAAGAATGTTGATTTACCAATTCTTTTGATGTGACATTTCCATCCAAAGCAAGAACTTTTTTTGCAATCTTATAATCTCTTTCATTATGACAAAATCCGTTTGCTCTTCCCAACATGCCATATCACATGTGGTCCCAAACAAACACCAAGTGTGATTTCTTACCTAATTACACTTTCTTTTTTCTGGATTAATGTGGTTCGTACTGAGTACTTAGCTGTGTTGACGTGCTTTGCAGGTGGAGTATGAAGTTTTACCCGGCTGGAAGTGTGATATATCTTCTATCCGGAAGTATTCTGATCTTCCCTCAGCTGCACACCAATACATTAAAAGGATAGAAGAGCTTGTGGGTGTACCCATCCATTACATTGGTGTTGGACCTGGACGAGATGCCCTCATATACAAGTGATTGAGAGTTCAATCTTTTTTGTCACTGAAGTAACGTCTATTTTTATGGAGAGGAGTAGAGGACATCGCTTCCTTTAAGTCGATGAAGTGCCAAACACTTTTAATGACACCACGGTAGTGTAATGCACTTACAGAGAGATCTACTCATCAATTAGGATCTTAACATCTTCCTTTTGTTGTTGTTAGTTGTGGTTTTACAAGCTAAAAGTAATTAGATGGTGTTACCATTTGAAAACCTCATGTGTTGCCCTCCTTCAATAATGAAACTTAGTTGATTTCCTTGACATTCGGATCCGAATAAGAAAATATACTCTTCACTTAAATTTTTTTATAAATTCTGAATGTTTTAAGATTCAGTCTTGTGTGATTTTTTTTGTTTGGACTAATCTAGTTTATATGTTATTTTATTTGTTGTGGCCTGAGGCCCTGAGCTTTTCATTTTTCTAATTTACTTGTCCAATACATAATTTGATCAGGTATTGGGGCAGGAAACATTCCCCCACCTATTTTTAAGTTCCCAATTGGAACGAGCCAAATAAGTTTCTCCAATCTATGACCGTATTTGACTGGCTCATGTTTTTGAAATAGACAAAAAAATTGGAATTGGGACTGATTTATCGGGTTAAGGTTTGGATTCTACATTTCCACCCTTACCTTAATCAGACTAAAAATGGGCTTCTGTAAATCTTGATCTGAATGGTTCTGACCAATGAATATAGTTCATTGGATCCGATTTGATAAATAAAAGGGATGAAAGGAATACCATCAAAGTGCAGTGACTGCAGTCCTAATATCAGTGTCATTACTCATTACCTCAAACTCTCAAAGGGTATTAATGAGATAGCTCAAAGTGGTATAAGTTTCATCAAGGTTAGCCAAGTCCAAATAGCATTTCGAATAAACTGTACACATAAATACATAATGGGAGTTTGCCAAAATAACTAATGTTGGCACTAAAAGAATATGGCTGCTACTTAGTAACAAAAGAAGCAATGAGTTTTTTTATGTTACATACAAAAACTATCAGAGCTTTAGGTAAGCAAACAAAGACGGCACCAGATCTACGACAGCCCAAGCAAGGCCAGTATACTGAATCAGTCTTATGCTTGTATCCAAATCAAATGTCTCCTGGTGAGAGAAGAAGAGCTTTTGCACATAATAACCTCCTCCGGTGGTTGGAGGCTTCTTCACTAAATCATCCGTCTTTTTGGAGATTGCTGAGGCAGAGAGTCCAGGGATGTAACTGGTTGATTTCACGGGGAGGCTCACAGCATTAGCAAGCATGGGTAACATCCATTTTGCAAGAGCCTTGCTGCAGAACTTCACGATTAATATTGTCGGTATCCCTACGAGCATTCTTCCAACAAATGCAAGGACTGTAAGGTCAGGAGTAAAGATCCGGGGAACACCTTCATGGTGAAACTGATTATATGTTTGCTGGATTCCCATTACCTGGCAAAAGAAATAAAAAGTATTTTCTTATTAAAAACCCACGAAGGTGTTTTTCAAGCGACTCCAATAGTTCTAATGTATTCCTTGTAGTCATCTAGAAGTCTAAGTTCCACACTTGCACAAGATTATGGCCAAAACAGTACTTGTTCCCCATTCTATTATGAAAGATTATTATTACTTGGTTCAGTTTTCATTTTTGACAACTTTTCCCACACTTTAATCTCTACTCGACATAAACACTTTTCATTGTTGAGTAGCTAGGGCTATTATTATATGTTAAAAGATACTAGCATGATAAAATGACATACCTCACCCTAATAAAGGAGTAATAAACAGAGTTTATTTTTGTAAAAAATATGGGCTATTAGTGGGGGGAACTAGTATCTTATTTATCAAATGCTATAGTATCTTTTCAAATAGGATCTTACTTAATACTTTGTTCACAAAATTAAGACTAACGACTTATTTGGAGCTTAAAATAAGCTAAAGCTTCCAAACAGCCTCTACCAAAACACATACATTATCATCAGAGTTCATACAATCCAAAAGTAAAAGAGAATGTATCATTTAGGGTACATTTGGAACTCAGAAAATGTTACTACACTAAAACAGTGGAAACATGTGTAACAAATGTGGAAACATTAATCATAGTTTGTTTGACTGCATTTTCCGATGTTAGACCAAACAGAAGAAAATAACATCCCATGGCCTTTTCTTTTATTTCCCTAACATTTCTGTGATCTAAACATAGCCTTCTGCAAAGTCAGAGGGAAGTGTACTTACTATTCCCAATGCAACACCATTGAAGGCTGTGTGATATTCAAAACTTGGTGTTGGGAGCTCTGGTGTTGGATAAGCAAAGAGGAATAAGAAGCTTAGTGCAGCCCAGAAGGATGTAACTGCAAAGGGTTAAATATATTATATTTAGCATTACAAAAAGCATATTAAAATCTTATTTATTTATCAAATTTTAGCCATTAATGTGATGCTCCTCTATTGACACCCAGACATCACATATCCATAATTTGCCATCCCTAAGTAGCACTGGAAATTTACTCCCTCAACCCCCTAAAAAAAGTCAGTCTAGCTAACTTGACACATATTGGAGAGCTCTACAAAATGACGGGGACTCTTCTTTAAGTCTAGCTGTAGATGCATTTTATTACCTATAAACATACTAAAGTATTAATTTTGAGAAAAATAAAAATGTGAACATGTTTGGAAGATAAAGGAAGATTGTCTCTTGAATTCCTAAAGAGAGAATGAACAAGTATACCCATAAACTCTATGTTCAAGAACCATATACCCCTCAACTATTTTTTGGAACAACTAAAAACAAAAATTGTAAAGAACTAAATTAGGATAAAGTACATCACTAGACTTCAGAGAATATATATACCTCTCAATTATTGAACCTAAGGAAAAGTTTTTCCCACATAACATATTTTGTGCTCCAAATAAAGGTTGAAGGATACATTTATTCTGTGACGTATAATTTAAGGGCATATTGGTCCTTCTACTGCTACCTAAGCTAATGATTTTTCGGACAAACCTTTGTGGCTGTAATGAGAATATTATTTTGGGAAAGAGAACATTACTATGTTCCATTCTGGACTATCTCAATGCGCTCATATCACCCCTCAAATGACTTGGTCTATCCTTTGTTAAAATGAATACAATGTAATTTTGTAAACAATGAAAAAGTACAAAATATGGCAGTATAATAACATTTCAATTAACCTTTTATTCATTAAAAAAATCTACTTATTAAGATATATACTGAGCTCTCCAAAGTCTCCCCCTCGAGAACCCATCATCTAAACACACCCAAAATCATTTGAAGGTTAGTTTGACGGGTAAAAATTTACAATTACTGGATGATGATGATGACGATGATGATGATGATGATGAGTGTACAATTGCACATACCGTTTTGTCCTGAAACTATGAAACGATCTATATGATTGTGAACAGAAAGCCAAAATGTGAGGATCGCAAGACCAAAACATAGACCTCCAATGATGTCAATCAAGCTGTGCATCCCAAGGTAAATTCTCCCTGAAAAGAAAGCAAGTTTCAGATGGAGCTCTAAAGGACATCTCTAAGCACGAGAAAACAACCGTCTCAGAGCAATGTGACTTACCGAAGCCAATCAGACCAACAAGCAAGCAAACAATGGAAACTCCTGCTATTTCTATGGAGATATCTTCATTCTTGGTATAGGATAAGACATACTGTAAAAGGTACCTGAGTTTCCAAAGAAAGTACATAAGAAACATTAGAAAATCAATAGACATACATTTAGCAAACATATAGGTAGCATGACTCGAGCAATTAAAACTATATCTTTTTTCTACTTTTTTTGCTCCTCACAAGTTCTTACGATGATAAATGACACCTAAGCATATTTTATGTCCTTTTATCCCTTTCTTGAGTTTCTTCTGGAGGGAATAACTAAATACATCCATAGGCAACGACATTTTGTTTAAGGTTGTCAAGTTTCTAACTTACAGAGATCAGCTAGTGAAATTTAAAGATATTCCCGATCCGCTCATGATGAAAATAAATTTGTACCCTTTATCCAGGCTATAGGCAGGTTGACATCATATATTCCCCAAATGACCACTTACAACTTGGGGGATTCTGGAGGTGTTTTATTATTTTCCTAATTTTTTCCGATTTCATGTATCAAATTTTTTTACAGTATTACTTTTAAAACACATAAATTAATGTATTTTCAATTGAAAAGAAATATTACATCAAAGTATAACAGTTTTACTTATTTTTCTAAAACACTAATTCCTCCTCAAGAAGGGGAGTCTTGGCGCACTGGTTACGGTGTTGTTGTGTGACTAAGAGCTCACAAATTCAAGTCTTGGGAGCGGACTCTTGTCAAAATGACAAGGGAAGGCTTGCCCCTTATACACTCTTGTAGTGGACCCTTCCCCAGACCCTCGCCTTGCAGGGACAAAAATGTGCTCCGGGCAGCCTTTTTTCCCTCTAATTCCTCCTCATACCTCCATTCAATGAAAGTACAGAGTTAAATTTTTATTTAATCTACCATTTTCTTCCCCTCTTACCATTGTTTCCTGCTCACTTATAAACTAAACAAGGGTACATGCTTACAAAAAGAACAAACAAATGTGCACTGATGAGAAAATTAGACAACTTTATACCCGGCCAAGCAGACAGTATTAAGGGTATGTGAAGAAGGAAGTCCGTATTCCAATGCATTTTCCTTCTCGTCTTTGGTGGCTGTTATTCTCCTAACAGGTGGTGAACTTGGTCTAGGGGCTGAAACTACATCCTGCAATATACAAACAAAAAGGTATATAATCATACAGCAGAACTGCAGAAGAAGCATCATAGTTAACACGATGAGAGATGTTATAGAGGAAGAAAAGACCTTAATACAGTTTCCCATATAATCACAGAAAGCCATGAGAAGGGTCATCTGCCGAGCCAACTTAGAATGCCCAGTCTGCAAAAAATAAAACAGTATAGTTCAATTCATAATTCTACTTTATTTCAAAAAAAAATTCATAATTCTACTTTTATTATTGGAAATTTCACAGAATAGAATAGAAGGAAAAACAACTTGGTTTCCTAAATAGGAATAATATGTTTTTTCCTGAACTGGAAGTAAAGTTAAAGTCATCTTGAAATCATGCTGACATTATCAGGCATTAATATGATGGTATTAATGCCATAATATGGAAGTTATATTTAAAATGGCATTAATTATTCCTATTTATGGGAAACTTAGTACTCGTTTATTTAAGCTAGTTTCTTTTCATTATTTAGAGCGATAAAATACAAGAGAGGAAGATATAAAAATTACCCAGAAGAGAAAGGGAAGAAAGGCAGTGTAGAAAGGCACAGAAACGATACAAGACAGCCCAGAAAAGAAAGCAT